ATAGTTCAGAAAGGTTGGGGCATCGCCAGCGCGTGGCCGACGGTCGCTGGCACGTGGGAATTTCGACGTGGCGCGTGAGGGCGCATCGGTCGGAATCCAGTGATGGTGTTTTTAGACAGAATGTTGCTGGAGATGAGACGGACCCTGCAGTGTTGTCGAATTTCAGTTTGGAGTAATACAGTGAAAGTTGGACGATTTTGCCCTTGGATGTTCGAGTACCGGGTGCTGTTTTCGTGTTGTTGTGGTTGCTGTTGACTTTAGGATGAATGGTGAATTCCTAAAGTGGTGAATTCTCATGTCTCAATATTTACGGACCTTCAAACATGGTCTGCTCGGTATCGTATTCTTTGCTTTTTATTATTGCAGTTAAAATTAATGTGTAGGTTAATTATTTATTTTTCACATTAGAAGTGATAGTATGGGGTGACATTAGGTTTGGAGAAACCATTGCCTGTTGGTAGACCTAGGAATTACATGTTAATTAATTGTCTTAAATTTAATGCGAATTTGTCACCAATTTTTTCTATACCGATAGAATTGCATGTGACCTTAGGAAAGTTTACTTGACTATTCTGTGTGAATTATATGTCAATACTTTTCTTGTGGTTATTATTTGGTATAATTAGTATGTATAGGTCTAAGACAAGTACGAAAAATAAAATATGTTTTAATTGTGGTAGACATAATTGAAAGAGATTGTTCTAAGATGATAATAAAAGGAAAGATGACAATAGAGACGAGGCGAATGTGACTTTAGGGTCGAGTAGTGATCCTAGTGAGGTTTATTGAGAGAATAAACTGGGTTCTTACATTGCATCTGTGTGTAATCCTTTCTGCATGTATGTGGTCACTTAATTCTGTTGCAATGTTGATGTTACACTTTCAATGTATTTAATGTGTGTAATTGCATGAATTAGAGTGACTTATTACTTTGTGTAATATATTTACATGCATAGTGGGTTGAGTTTTGTGGCGTACTCTGTTTCCTCTGTGAGTGGTGTGAGAGTGTGGTAGTGAAAAGAAAGTTGAGCAGCCGTTTCTCTCCTTTATCTTTGTAAGCCTCCTTTGTGAGTGTTGTGAAGTAATCAACTCTTTCTTCGAGTTTTCTTTGTGAGTGCCACCCTCACCATTTTCTTTGTTGATTTTTGAAGCTTTGGTGATTGGAGTAACCTTTGTGGTCATCGAAAGGTTTTGATTTACCAAAGTAAGTTTGAGATGCATTAGTAGTAAGTTGGATGTCTTTTGGTAAGGTGGAGTATAGATGCCTAAGGGTACACAGTGTTTTGTACCGGGGGATGTAGAGTGTGACATTTGGATTACGAGTGGAGATGTGATCAAATGTGTAGAATCCTTTATTAGTGAAAGAGACCCTGTACAGGTGGAGTGCGAGAGAGGCACTTCTATCACTTCTGTAAGGTGGAGTCCCATTATCCACGTAAGTTGGAAGAAGTGATGTGGTGATAGAGGATTATCCCTGAATTTAGGATCTATTGTGACATGTCAATTAGACATGAGTTGAGTGATTAGTATAGTGAGCATGGTGGGCGATGAGAGGAGATATGTGTTCTGGAGGTGGGAGTAACACGAAATGGGATAGGATAAGTGTGGTGAGATCTTTCATGGGTCATTTATGCATTTGTTTCATATGTGCATGACCGTGTGTTGATTAACTAGGTGTTAATTTGTGGTTCTGTGTGAATGTGATTTGGAAAGATCTCTGTGTATATTATCCTTTATATCTTCATCGCATGATTGTTTGTTCACTGTGAATACTTGTTTCTACTTGGGTGTTCTTGATCTTAGCCCTGGTATACATGGAGCAAGTATGGTATATGTTTCGGTTCGAAACACGAGGTAAGGTCTATTATTCCAATTTTATTGGATTACCTTGATTGTGTAAGTATAAACTGTGTGTTTTGGATACTTGCAGATTATTGGGCATCAAGGTGGAGATTGTTAGGTTTTTTGATACCCAATAATCTGGGCGATGATTTAAATCAGTTGTCGGATTATTTATCGACACCATGGACTTAGCTCGGCTCGGAGAGGAACTACACTTTTGGATGGCTCGAGTTTGGGTTGAAGGATTATTTGGTTAGTTGGACTATTTAGAGATTAATATGGAGTTGGAAATTGACCCATTATTTAGGTTATATGGCAGCCCACTTAGAGATCTCTTAGCCCATATTTGATGACCTAAACTAACCTATATATATGTATCTATCTCCCACCCGTTTGGTGTGTGTGTGTGTTGTAACAATAGAGAGGAGAGTTGAGAGAAGAGAGACAGCCGAGAAAGAGGGAAGCCAAGTGAGGTTGTGAGTAAGATTCAACCATTGTGATATCTCCTTCTTTCTCTCCATACCTTTGTGGATTGATAACACCACCACCCTTCTCCTTTGTGGGGTTAGAGAGAAAGAAAGCAGTCCAAAGTGAAGGCAAAAGTCTTGGGTCTAGTCAAGGTAAATCGGTGTTCGTTTGATTATTTTCTGAACCTGGAACCAAAATTTATTGAGAGATTTTTGCTATATATATAGAATCCATTACAAGTATTTTGGATAAAATACGACTCAAGAAAGTAGTCAGAATCAAAAAAGGATTCCCGTCTGAATAATAGTGTCACACCAGTGCCAGGCGATGCTAGGCGGACAGCAACTCTTTGCTCAGTTTTTCACTTCTAATGCTTGAACACCAAAGTTAGTTGCCAGTTAGAAAAATTGCGACGATTTTTTCTCCACCAAAATTTCAAAACCAAGTCTTCAATTTTCCAATGTTCTTTTACCAATCAAATTTCAATCATTGATGAACTTTAATCCTCCTTTTCAATTGAACTTCCAATCCAAGAAGACTCTTGTTCCTTTTATCAATTTACCAATCCAATCCTAATCCCAATAGAAATTTGGGTCATATTCTAGCAATATTGTCATGCCCCCACTCATCGTGTCCTGTTGATTTGAATCTTTGCAATTTTTATGTGCATAATAACCTTCATTTCAGATCACAAACCAAATAGTTGTGTTTCTCCACATTTTTGAAATTATAGTGCTTTTGTTCACTACCCTTATTCATAGCATATTACATCTAATTTAACATATCAAATTGTCGTCTCTACACTTTTTTTTCCTCAAATCGTCATTTCACAGGGATTTATGAGAAAATGAAAGAAAATGGGTTCCGCACTTCTAAATGGTTTCCACCAATTTAAACAGGTGAAGGTATTTGACAATAGATCCATACGTTGAGGGCCTTTTTTTTTTTTTTTTTTTTTTTTTTTTTTTTTTTTTAATTCAAGAGAACACAAAGGTGGAGCACTAATTAACAAGAAAATTGGTATAGATGGTCCTTAATGTAAGGTCGTTGTGTGGAAATGGTCCCTAATGTTACTATCGTTGCGTTGACCCGCTCAACATATTGATGTTGTGTGAAAATAAAAAGGTCATTTTCGATGGCTTCCATCCATTTTGCAATTAATTGTATATATACTTTAATAAAAATAAGCTTATCCTCTTAAACGATCATTTGTACAAGTATCATTTCCTTGTGATGATTAATAACATCTGTCACACATAATTCATCTTTATTAATAAAATAAAATTGTTCATATTCAAATAATGTCATTTAATTATAATATGGTGTTCCCTCTTTGTCTATATGCTTTATCTTGTTTTGTTGGGGTCACTTATATATATATATCGATTTATACTTTTTTTTCTCACATATAAATTTTTGCAGTGATACTTTTATTGAAAAAAAATCTCATCCATGGAGTGAAAACACAAAATGCAAAACGAGCTAAAAAAGAAAAATATAAATTAAACTTTATTAAATGATCATTTTTTTTTCATTTTTCTTTGTTTGGGAATTATTGTTGTGTGGACATGCCTAGCCACAAGATACCAAGATTTTGTTGTACAATACATCTAGAGAGATATTTCTAGAATACTCTTGAAATATATCAATCATTCGAAATATTCTCATGAATTACAGATAAAATTTACAGAAGTAAAGAAGAATGATGTGTAATATTTTTTTTTCCAAGGTACAACACTTATTTTATATGTTGAAGTGGACATATTTGTAAAGGGCTCAAAAAGAGACATTGAAGATTTTTGTCCCAAACAGCTTAAAAAACGTGATCTTAATGTTTTACGTATAAGTCAATTAATGCATTACGAATTGGGTAAGTATTTTGATAGTAAGTGATGACATTGGATTGATTTATGATTGGAGTTACGTGGGGATCATATGGGGCTTGCTGAGCCCATGAAAATTTTGGAATTTTCTTTTTAAATTTTAGTTTTTTTTTTTTTTCACTTTTCTACTATTTGAAGTTTGAACACTTTTTTTTTTTTTTTTTTTCCCTTTTCTACTATTTGAAGTTTGAACACTTTTTTTTTTTTTTTTCATCCACTTTCTGCCTACCAACTTCTTTTAAGCCTTGAACCTCATTCTTCCCCCAATACCTAGATTTGTCATTTTTACCATATAATTGCGTTTTCCTACCTAGGTCATCAACATCAACGTCGACGACCGACCATAGTTTTTCTCCACATCAACATCAAACTCCTCAAGACCTCAACCACGGTTTGAACCATGCAATTGAATTGGATATTCGACTATTGAATGATAGTCAGTTTTGTACATTGAGGACGCTATATTTGCAATATTGATAATAATGTAATTATACAATGATTTCAAATTATGGAAATGCATAGACAACATTCGTAGTAATGTATTGAATTATTCCCATTAATGTTATGTTGATTGAAAATTTTTTGCAACTTAATTTTTTTATCCAAAATGAAGAATATCTAGATCCTGTCAAGAGAGTGATAGCATTTATTTTGCAAACATAATGCAATTATTTGCTTGCATTATTGAAAGCATTATTACTTTCAATCTACTTGCAGTCTAATCACACCTTTTGTCCCCACATAATGAACGGCTCTTCTCATACAGGGCCACATGGGCCCTGTTTATGTATTGCTTCTTGCATGCCATTACCAACTTATTTGAGTTGGTGCTGATACTTCAAGTGGCTCTATTGTTTTATCAAGCATCATCTTCACTTGAATCTTCATCTCAGAAGCCCCCATCGCGTCTCTCTCTTTCTCTAGTTCCTACATTATCCATAATCAAAATTTGATTGCATGAAAAAATAAGAGATGGCAAAAAAATTCGTCCCGTCACGTCTCAAATGGGGCCAGACTGGAGTTCGCCCCCTTTAAAAAAAAAAAATGTTTGAGTATTATTTACTTTGGATTTTAAAATTTTGAATTTGTATTTTATTTTCTAATAATAGCATAACTCGAATTAATTTTGAGTAGTGCACGTTTTTAATCACATTCTTAAAATAAAATATTCTGTACGCAAATTTAAAACTTTTTCCTACTTTTTAACAACTAATTCTCCAAAAAATCTTTATTCCAAAACACATTTTTCTCAAAAAATTCCTTTTAATGGATGTCAAACAGGGTCTTATATAGAGTTAAAGATTTCTATTGCTATTGAACATTAATGTTTCTCAATTGCCTTTCAACTTTAAGCGAGTTACTATTAAATTTTCTCAAATTTTTCTTAGACGTCATTGAACTTCAAAGGTTATTCAAGTTATCACTAAACTTACTAAAATATTGTGACATTTGTCACTTTGTCACTCGTTGAGCATGAAATGTATATGATATATATAATTTTTTACATACTACAAATTTCGTGTGAATAAGGGATATTTCTTTAGCTTTGATAAATGAAATAGTTGAGGATAAAATAGTTATTTTGTTGAATAAACTTGTAAACACAGTCAACCGCAAAATTTGTTGGAAGGTACCTTTCAGGCTAGCCAAATATGATCTATATAAAGATCTCAAATCATCCACGCCAATTATACTGTTGCGTAAAATAATTATTCAAAAAAATAAAATAATAAAAAATGTGAACTCGATGGCTACGTCAACTTGCACTTAAACCCACCTCTACTAAACCCAAATCTTAAGGCAGCAACAGAGAAAAAATGGTCACTCAACCACTAAATTAATGACACTTGTTATGTTCAATTTCTTTTTTGCTTATTTCGACAAAGTCTGTAAGATATCGAATTGCTCTGATAACAGTTCGTTGTAATAATGGACGAGAAACGAATAATATATTTATGGCACAATATGAAGTAATTGAACACAAACCCAAGAACCAGATAATTTGTAGAGGAAATGATATTTCACTAGAATATGGAGAAAGAATATAATGATTTTGTGTTTATAATTTGTCTAACTTATAATGAGGTTTAACAACCTGATTAATTTGTAAAGAATAACCAAATATAAATAGGAAACAAATAGAAGACATCCATAACCCTGGTCTTGATATCGTAGAAGAAATAGAATGTTGAAAAAGCTTGTAAAACGCGAAAATGGGCCCAGGTAGGATGAATATGGCACTCGAGCATTAGGCGGTCGCTGGCTTCACTGCTTTGGACGCTCGAGCTCAAGTCAAGCGCCAAGCGAGCACGATTGCGCCAAAAGTCCTTCCTAATCTATATCTTGATCTCTTCAAATCCAAGACAAATTTCAACTCTCAGTTGACTTCCAAATAGAATTTCAACTAGAATTTACCTAACAAACTTCAAATAGGATTTCAAAATAGCATTCCAAATAAAATTTTCCTTAAGTCAGCTTTAATTAAAATTTTCACTTATCTTTCAAATAGAATTCGAGTCACACCTTAATTCTAACAAAGTCAAAATTTTCCTACCACCCCAATGATTAGGCAAATTATACAATGGCTCATCTAAAGATCTAGACAAGAATAATGGTTCACATTTAGAATAATGGTCGTCATGAGAAATCGAGTCTGGCCCAAAACTTGCCACCACTATATTAATGACAGAAGATTTCTCTCATGTTCAATTTCGTTTGTGCTTAAGTCGTGGAAATCAAAATTACAATCCACTACAATAGTTTGGCAAATACATTAACAGATTCAAAACTTGTAAATTATAGGCATGTTCTGTGCAATTTGTCCTAAAAATTCAATATGTCAATATTTCCGAAATCGACGACGAAGACACAGACAAATTTTAAAAAATAATAATAATAATAATAAAATAGTAATTGATATACTTGATATGCATCTTTTCCAAAGATTGTCTCTAACTCTACCAACTCTAGATAGTGAAGCAGTGAGAACGAATATACACAAGTCGAATTTCGTTGATTTTGGCTAAATAAGATTGAACAATTGGGAAAAACTCCAATTTTATTTAGATCATAAGAAACAACAAAGAAAACAACACGCTCTTAAAAGAGTTTAAAAAGTGACGAATCCTAACTATGAATGACAAAATAGCTCCTAATTAAAAGTATTTAATTAGATGATAAAATAAATAAACGAATTAAGATGTATCTCCATCTATTTGTTTGGTTTAATAAGAAGAGCAATAAGAAGTGAATCACTCATGTGTTGGGTCTCCGACATTCAAAGCTCGTTAGAAATTTTTGTTTTTAGAACGAAAAGTAAGTAATGATACGTGGACTCAGAATCAATCTAACTCACCAAATTCTCATCTATACAGTGAATTCTGATACATAGATTTTTGGTTCAAAATGTTGAAAATCAAAGAGAATGCACACGTGTACTGTGCATTTTTGAAGGAATTACTTCCAAGAATTTTGCTGGGTGCACAATACCCCTCCAACTACTCACATGGAATTGCCAAAAAAATACTCATCCATCTTCCCTATTTGGTCTCCTGTCCCTACATAAATTTCTTCTTTTTTACTGCAAATAGAGATCCGCTATTCGTGCAGAAAATATGCTGCCAAAATTTTTACAGAAAACACTTGGCAATTTCTGTTGGAAAAAAAAGAAAAATGACAGACCAAACAGATGCTGTCACAGCAGCATGGCAACATGTGTATTAAGTCTGGCAGCACTGCTCTGTACAAGCAGAGAAATTCCTGCAAATATCAACTTTCTTTCCGTTGTCGGTGCCAATTTTAACACTTAACACGGTGACTTCGTATTATTCCATGTGAAAAATACTATAGTGCCACAACCGACAACTTTATTCCATGAACCTTGCTAGATGAAAATAGAGGATGACATAGCCCTCACACATGGGGGGTCGGCAATTTTTTATTCACCCCGGGGCGCACGCATTTTATGTGAGTGCTATGTCATCCTCTATATCGTCGGCTATGTTCGTTTAGAATTATTCAAAATACTAAAGCGCCACAGGGTTACATTTTGCCCGTTTGATAGATCATCTCTCTCTCTCTAGTGTGTGTGTATATATATATATACACAATACACGTACCAAAGTTTCAGCAACCGCCTCATTTATTGGATTCCCATCCTTTCGAAGATGTCCATGAGTCCATACTGTCGTTCTCAATCCTGTTATATTTGGATTCTTTCTTTTCTACAATAACAATATTCAACTCAATCATAGACACGTATATGAAATCAATAAAGACACATATCAAAAATAAAGAAAGATAGTTCTTGTACCAAATCGTGAGCCATACGTGAATAACCCTTCCGACCCATAGTGTGGAGAAGCTTCTGACTACTTCTCATTTTGCTGAACTTAGAACTTTTTTCCTGTTAAGGAAAACAATATAAACCAACAATAATTGACTACAAAGTTTAAAGTTCATACGAAAATATAACTTACTTGAAAATCAGTGGAAAGAGTATCTTCTACAAACTTCTCCCATGCTTCTTCTGAGGTTATATTCTTCGGTCTAAGAAGGGCAATAGCGCGTTTTCTATTCATGGCAGATGGTACTTGACGTTTGATATCTCTTCTCAATCTCGATTTGAATGTCCTCCAATATGTTCCCATACATTGAAATGCCATTTTTTGATGGCAGTCATTGACATTGAATCTTTGCTACAATTATCACAAATATAAAAAATGGTCGATATATGATCGAAAATGGCAATCAAACTTTGAAGGAAAAATGTATATAACCAGTAATAAAAAAGTATCATATTAAATAAATGTACCTGTATAAAATTCCAAAGTTCAATTTTTTTACTGTCATCCACTGAAGGCCAATTTTTAATAACAACTGGCACGTACTCCCCATACCTCGGGCTGAAGCAAGGTAGTGTTGAACTATTTCGTCAAAAAGTTTAATCTATTAGGAGAGTACTCATTTATTTAATTCATTCAACAGGCGGTTCATAAACAAATATGAGAAGAGACCAGACAAGAATCCAATTCTTCTCCAACTCGCAAAACTGGATTTCAACATTGTTCAAGCAACATATCTTGAGGAACTAAAATATGTCTCCAGGTATTGCCAAGTGCGCTAAATATATCGTATTTTAAGCTCCTAACCTTACCATCCTTTGTTTCTGTATATGAATAGGTGGTGGGAAAGAACATGCCTTGCCAAGATGTTGTCATTTGCCAGGGATAGGCTGGTGGAATGTTTCTTTTGGAATATAGGAGTGCTATTTGAACCACAATATGGATTTTCACGAATAGATGCAACCAAAGTAAATGTTTTTATTACAATTATGGATGATATATATGATGTGTATGGTACCTTGGAAGAACTGGAACTTTTTACATTCATCATTGAAAGGTTAGCAACGTCCTCCAAATGTTTCTTTTTAAGCCTCCTTTCTCTTTGTGGCTCTTACAATTATTTCTTCTTGGAACTTTACAGATGGGATGTCAATGCAATCGAGCAACTTCCAGATTACATGCAAATTTTCTATCTAGCACTCAACAACTTCGTCAATGAAATGGCTTACGATGTTCTCAGAGAAAAAGGGATCGTAATTATTCCATATTTAAGAAAAGTGGTACTATTAGTTTCCTTCAAGAATATATCCTTATTAGCATGTGTATTATGATGAATATCAGGTCTGTTTGAATCGCATTCTTTCAAAAAAAAAAAATTATATATATATATTCCTAAAAGTAATTTGACATCATTTCAACTATACATTTTTTAATAAAATAATATTACACATAAATCCAAAACATTTTCTTATTTTTTAACCATACATTCTTTCAAAATTCTGTGGCTCAAACACACGCTAGATAACATCAAATAATATTAAAGAAGAAAAAGAAAATATTGTTCGTTTTATTGTCAAATCTCGTATGATACGCCTTCTGGGTCGTAGACTTCTATCTTAAAATATTAACAAAGTTAAGAGGAGTAGCACAATTGCACGAGCCCTTATATTGAGTATTGTTTCTATAGCGATCTCGTATTTTATCATTTAGTACAACCAACAGAAATTTCTCTATATGTTTTAAATATCTTTAAAATTTTCTGATCTAAGATATTTAAAATAAGCATGTCAAATCAATGTCACAGTGGACAGATTTATGCAAAGCATACTTTCAAGAGGCAAAATGGTGCTTGACTGGATACACCCCAACAATGGAAGAGTATATGGAAAACGCATTGATTTCAATATCAGCTCATGTAATATTGTCACACTCTTTTTTCTCTGTTACCAATCCAATAGAGAAAGAAGCCATTCAGTGCTTAGAGAAATATCCTGATATAGTTCGTTGGTCGGCTACGATTTTAAGGCTTGCAGATGATTTAGCAACATCATCGGTACGTATGCAGCAAGCCATTTCATTTCATGTTTACGAGATTTTTGGTTAATGAAATCAACGAGACAATAGGAATTCGAAATTAACCCTTTCAACTAAAGGTGTTTTTTATGCTTTATTAATTCAGGATGAATTGGAAAGAGGCGACGTTCCTAAATCAATACAATGTTACATGAATGAGACTGGTGCTTCCGAAGATGAGTCACGCAAACACATAAGGTTTTTGATATGCGAGACCTGGAAAAAGATTAACAAAGGTCGAGATGCAAATTGTCCATTCTCACAAACATTCATTGAAATTGCAGTGAATCTTGCTCGAATGGCACAATACATGTACCAGTATGGAGATGGACATGGAATTCAAAATCATGAAACTAAAGATCGCATTTTAGCTTTACTATTTGAGCCCATTCCCCTCAAGTAGAGTTCGAAATTCATTTGTGGTAGGAATGTTGTTTTCACACTTGCAAGTTGCACTGTATATTAACTATGATGTCGTGGCCAAACATATCATGTAATCCATGTTTGTTACAAAAATAATTGTGATGATTGGAGCGAATTCAAACCTTTTAATATACACCTAATTCGAGGAACCAATGGACTTTTAAATACAAACCCTACCCTCGCAACCATGACTCCAGTTATTTGACCCTTCAACAAAAATAATAAATAAAGCCTAACAATTGCTAAAAACAGTTTCGCCTAATTTGAAAGAATAATTCTGTGTAACAATATTGATGTTAATTAACTTGTACACATGACAATAAATAACATTTAATCATTGGCTAGATTAAATGTTAAGATACGAAATTCATTTATTTGAACATGTAGTTCACTACCTTGTAATTTGGTGATATAACACAAGTCTATTTTTTATAATCACCCAACTGTTGTATCCAAGCCGACTGCTTTATTTTGAGAGCATCTACCTGCTTAATACTCACAGATTTGTCTTCGTGATAAAATATTGTTTTCTATTATCTTTTTGTTATAAATATAAAATAAAAGTTTAAATTCTAAAACAGCGTAATTACTTAATAATACAACCAATAATTTTCTTTAACATGCTATTGTTAATTAAGTACAAGTTTAAACTTAAATTAGTTCATAATAGATTTGTAAAATATACACAAAAAAATAAAAAATAAAAAATGTTCACGCATATAATCAATTTGATCAATAAAGTTTTAAATCGGAACAAAAATGATCTTGTTAGTTTCCTTCAATTTATTTTATAAGAAGATACGGTAAAGTAGCCATTTGCACCTTTTTGCAAAGTTTAGGAACCCAACTGCAATTTTTTCTAACAAAAATTTAAGAGCATTTTGGTCTTTTTCATAAAAAGGACCAAAATAGCACTAAAACACATTGGTCGGTGAGGTTTGTGCCAAGAAACATATTATAAACCATTTCCACAAGGTAGACTAAGGTTAGTGACCATTTGCGACAATTTCTCAAATTTTATAACTTTATTTATCTTGTAAAAGGAGATTAACCATTTAGCTTGGCAAACAGATCTTAAATACAAAATAATGTCACAAAAAAACGATATCAAGAAATAGAGAGGGGAGAGACATGAGAGACAATTGGAAGAAGGACGAGGAGGAGGAGGCAATGGAGATTATGGGTCAATTCCATGTGATGCCTCAACTCTTGGTCTTCAATCTCAACTACGCTCTCATGTGTCTTGGATGAGAATGACTAGTATGTAACATTGATACGTGAAGTTAGTATTCATCATTTTTATATTTATATAATTTCTGAACAGGTTAACAAACTTTTCTGGTCATCAAACTCTCAAAATGTGACATTTTAGTGACTCCCTTTTAGCATAGATTGTCGGTAAACTTACAAAGATATTTCAGTTAAGACAATCCTTCCATATCAATTACTAAAGTTTATGGTTTTGTTTAGGTGTTGTTGTTTATGTCATTGACGGTAGTTATAAGAATTATGAGATGGCATTAATAAGCTAGTGTTTGACATGTTGACGTAGCGGAAGCTTATAGGGAAGAACAAAAACTCGCAAAAGATTCAAACTTGTTGATTCGCTCACGAATGTCAAGAAAGATGGAATAATTTTGAGAAACTTCTCAAAGCTCTTTATTATAATTAAATTCAATTAAGACCATTAAGGCTTCCAACTTATATTTAAAGCAATAATTAAAATATGGATAATAACTAAACTTCTAGATAATGACTTACTTCAGACAATGATAAGAATTAAAGATAATATAATCCTAAAAGGAATTAAAATCCTAATTTAATTAAAATTAACAAAATCAATTAAAAACGTGAAAAAAAATCATTTTCGAAACCCTAAACGATGAAATTTGACTAAAATGGACCGTAAATAGGGGGTAAAGCCGTTGTGTTTTGCTCATTAGACTAGGATTTAAAGAAGTAATTTTTCAAGGAATTTTGTGTCTATTTTGGATGAAAACAGTCCAATGAGCAACACAACATTACAATTATGTTTTGCATCACATGTGATTTTGATTTCATAGCACTCGCTTAAATGTTTAAACTCAGACACTTATTATTGAAGTGGATATTAATTTGACTTGAGTTTATTGTCATTTCTTTTCTCACATAATTCTTGCAAAAATTTGTAGGGAAAATGCTATTAGTACATTCTATGTATACATTAAGGTTGACATTTTATAAGACGTAAAAATATGTGCCACGAATTATTTTAAGTGTTGTTGAAATCAAGGGTAAAAAAGTGTGCCACTTCACACACTGTAAAAAAAACTGTCAAATTTAATATCACCGTAGCGAGATTGAATTTGTAGGCACATCCCCAAATGTGTTAAATTTAACTAATGGATTCATAGCCAGTGACTTAATTGGAACAACTTTATAAGTTCACTGACCATTTATGCTAAAATAATTACGATGACTGAAGTACATATTAAAGTTTGGTGACCAAAAGAGTTTTTATCCCATTACGGAAATTTTGAATTTCTCTAAAACCACCGTTATGAAAGGAAGAAATTTCTCTCTTTGAATCAAGATTAACAAAATTATTTGAACGCTTCCACGTAAAGTTGGTGTTGAGAATTCAAACTTCTGATTTTTATTTTGTCAAGTGTGCTTCAAAAAATCTGTGGAGAAAAACGTGTTTTCAAAATGGCAACTCTATTACTTGTGGCAATTAACAAGATTTCGACACCTAGCATCATGATGACCATCCGATTAGATTCTGGAAACTTCCAATTATGAAATCTTGTGACTCTCTACTGGGAACATGATTTTTCAGATTGGAGAGAGAGACTTTATTCTTACATTTTTAGATTTGAGAGATTTTCTCTAAGGTTTGGGGTCGCCTCTTCGTCTCTCTTCTTCTCTATGTATAAAATCCCTCTTCTTCACATATTCAAGCCAATTTTGAGTGATTCTCAGGTGTATACTTGAGGGATGATGAAGTTCTACTCTATTTACTTGTGTTAATACACTGGTTTTTTTGGTATGGTGTATGAATCTGTATGATTCATGTTAGAAGTTCAAATTTCTATGAAATCTTTGTGATTTTGTGTATAGTCTCTCGGTAGAAAGTGATACACTGTGTATTAGCACTCATTCTTCTGTGGTTCGAAGAGGGCAGTTTGTTTTTGTGACCTGTGTGATCCGGGTTTCTTGATTCCTCAGTGGAGTGAGGCTTGATTTGTGCTTTATTTTAAAGATAAGTCTTGGTGACTTTATTTCTTGTAATTCCTGGAACATTCTTGTAATTTTTGGTGCTTGATTTTGGGGCTTTATAGTGTAACTGATCTTTATCTATTTTAATGAAAGCTCAACAGGGGATTAGGCATTAGAAGTGGTTGCCGAACCTCTAGGGCTTCGGCCGAAAAAATCCTTGTGTTCATTTTTATTTCCTACACTTTCCTTTCAGTTTATGATTGTGTTTTTTGGAATCTTGGTTAATATTGATATCTCTCGACTTTTCAGTGGTATCAAAACAACCTGAACTACTAGTGCTTTTTGATTTCTTGATTAAACCTTATTCCTGAAACCTGCAGTAAACATTGGCAGGTGGAAATTGAGTTTTATCAAACTCATTGGTGAGATCTTTCCTGCATTCTGTAATTAATCTTTGTAGTAGGGTCTCCTAATTTTTCCCTTGATTTACCTTGCACTAACAAAACCTACTATGGCTGGTCTTTGTCCAAAGACTCAAGAAGTCTTAGGAATCTGAGATAACAACACTAGTAGGAGTGCAATTGGAAGGTCTTGCTGGAGAAGTTAGTTGAGGCATAGGATTGTCATCTCTGTTCTTTGTGATTCTGCTTTCTATACTTAGTGTTAAGTGTTTACTGTTTTGTGAAAATAATATAAGTGCATTGGTCACTGATCCCAAATCCCCTGTTCTGCCTGCAGTACTCTTATTGTGTATCCCTGTGTGTGTTCTTGAATTCAAACTTGTGTTCTGTGAACTGTCTTGGTAAATCTTGTCATGGCTACTACTAAGCTTGAAGTGAGCATGTATGATGGGAGGGGGGGACTTTAATATGTAGAGCCAGAAAATGAGGGCTATCTTGATGCAAATGAAATGTGCTAAAGCCTTAGATAATTCTCGGCCTGCTGAAATGTTTGCTACAAAAAGATCTGAGCTAGAAGAAATAGCATGGAGTACTATTTTCTTGTACCTTTCAGACAATGTGATCAAACCTATAGGTGAAACTAAAACTGTTGAAGAATTGTGGGCTAAATTGAAAGCCCAATATGATCCAAAAACGGTCCAAACAAATATTTTTTGCTAAAACAATTCTTTTCATTCAAAATGGATCCTTCTATTGACTTAGATGAGAACTTGGACAGATTTACAAAATTGACCCAGGACCTTGCCGACTGTGATGAGAAATTATTAGAAGATCAGCTAGTTGTGGTCTTGTTAAACTCCATTAGTGATAGGCATAAAAAGCTAAAGAATGCCTTGAAATATGGTAAAGACAAGCTTACCACATATATCATTATAAATGCCTTAAGAAATAGAGTTCTAGAATTAAAATTAGATTTTATCAACCAACAAAGTGGAGAAAATCTTTTGATAAAAGGCAAAAATGTTGGTAAATCTAATTTTCATTCAAAATTTCAAAATGACCCTAAGAGAATAAACAATGACAAAATGAAATCCAAAACTAAGGCAAAGGGAAAGAAATGTTATTATTGTGGTAAGTTGGGTCACTTTGCAAAAGATTGCTACAAAAAGCAAAATGATTTGAAAGGAAAGAAGTTAAATGAGGATAATGTTGTTTTGTCCTATGATAAGCAAAAATTTGATAATGGCCTAGTTCTTGTAAATGTGGAAAGGAACCTAAATCAAGAATGGATTCTTGATTCAGGTTGCTCTTTCCACATGTGCCCTAATAAAAACTATTTTTTGGACTTTGAACAAATTAAAGGGGACCAAGTTATCATGGAAAACAATATGACCTACAAAGTGAAAGGTATTGGAACCATAAAATTGCTCTTAGAAAATGGCAGAATTTTATCATTAAAAGATGCTAGATTTGTTCTTGAATTAGAAAGAAACCTTGTGTCTCTAGAAATGTTGAA